ATTTTTTTTTTATTATAAAAATGCCCTCGAAACGAATTGGATAACGTATGATGTATTAAAGACAGAATTGATAAAAAAACATGTTTTAAACAGTTTAAAAGATGCTTAACTGATTTTTAAATATTTGTTTTATAACACTGTTTAGAGCAAATATTTGGAGCATTTAAAACATATTTAAGAAAAAATATAATTTTTTCTTTAAAAAAAGGCATTAATTTTTGCCAACCCTGATTAAAGATCATTTTTTTTTAAGCTTAAAAAAGTACAAAGATATTAATTTTCCAACTTTCAAACACTTTTCTCGAAAGCTTAAATAAAGTATAAGAACACTTAATTTATAATTTTTTTATTCCTACAAACTTTTCAATTGTATTATTAGTTCTAAGACACTGCATTAAAAGATGACAATGGCAATGGATATAATGTAATTATGTCGATGATGTATTGTTAATACGATTTGTTATTACAAATAAGAACATATTCGAAAAAAATGCAATGTATATACATTGTATTATATATTAATTTGTCACAAATATATGTGATTTAAATACAGGCAATATATTTAAAATTAGATCCCGTTCTTTTTTTAGATTAAAAACATTTAGTACCTTAGTGATAAAATACTTTATATTTCATGATAACTACATTATTTAGTATAATGATAAAGTATATAGAAATCTAGTTTTAAAAACAGTAGTCTATAAATTTATCTATAAATTTTTTAATCTTAGAATGGATAAAAATAAAACGTATGAGATATAAGTATTAAAAAATGAACGATTTAAAAAACTTCGCATGATTTATTTGAAAAAATTATTTTCAGTCAATTTGAATTTGTAATATATATTCTTGTAATTCTTACATCTTTCTCTCTCTCTCTCTCTCTCTCTCTCTCTCTCTCTCTCTCTCTCTCGCTCTCTCTGACAAAAAATCTCAGTGGATAAAACAATTCTATGACTAGTTTCTGTGTAAACCTTTGCATACAGAATTTACTTTTAGACGAAAGTTCTTGTGAGAAACACGAAACAATTTTTATCGTTTTTCAAAAGAGAAAAAGTAAATATTAAAGTGAAAAGAAACTTGCGGAAAATCAATTTTTATTATGGTAAAAGATAAATATTATCATCAGGGTTTATTTTCAGAAATATAAAATTATCTTTATACATTATTGGAATAAGAATAACTTTGTTTTAATCTTATATCACTGAATTAAGAGAATTTTAAGAAATTTTTTTTTATTGAATAGAGTAAGACTCACTTTCTTTTACTCTTGCATTATGGACAAAAATGGATTCGAAGCTCTCGAATCTGTTTTGGATTAAAAAAATAGCAATATTACGTCATTTCAATTCTATATCATTGGATTAAAATGGTTTGCATATAGCTTATATTTTCCACCACTTTTTTTGATAGAAAGAAATAGAAAGAAATCCCATTGTTTCAATCCCACGTCATAGATTAAAATGGATTCAAAGAATTATTAAACTTTAATTGGATTTAAAAAATCAAGAATTTAAATTCGGCAATGACCAAACGAATCTATTTCTATCTATTTCAATCTCTCCGGATATTGGGATGTTCAAGTTTTATAATTTTATATATATTTTTTTTTAATTTTATGATTTTATAATTGGATATCTAAAATAAAATTCTTTGAAGAAACAGAATTAAACGTCTATAGTATATCTGCGTATTGCGTATTGCTATGCTTTATCAAAATGCATATACTTTATCACAAATACACATGCATAGCAAGAGTACGTTCAATAATGATAATAGTACACACGTTGATTTTTCTATCAAAACGCGTTACGTATATAAGTATTACGTAAATAATGACATTTTATTGCTCTCCGATATCACTGTGTAACTCATCATGTACAAGACTAGTTTGTAATTCTCAAGTCTTTTAATATTGTTAAGCGATGTTACAAGTCTTTCAACATTTATGTTTTACTTATAATTTATAATTATTTTTATTACACTACAGTTAAAAACGAAATGAGAGTAGCTATTATTGGTGGTGGAATTGTCGGATTAACGACAGCTGGATTTGTACAAGCAGGGTATTTTCGTAATGCTGACATAACGGTTTTGGCTTCGGATTTTGATGATACTGTCAGTCATGTAGCTGCGGGAATCTTTAGAGTCGGTGCTTCATTCTGCGGCCCTAAAGAGACAGTAACAAGGTATAAAACAAGAAATTTTTGTTTTTTTTATTTTTAAAGAGTACGTCTTTGAATACGCCATTTCAAACAGCTTTCAGCAAAAAAAAATCTTTATTAGCATTTTTACCGTCCAGAAACTTATTTTTTCTGAGCTACTAAAATAATCCACAATTCAAAATAAAAAAAACAAACTTTATCACCATAATCCATTTCTTTAAACAATGCTATGTTAATTACAACTAAATATAACGCTTACTTATTTTCAAATTAAGAAAAAATATTGAGATAGAATACATGAATCGTATTTTTTAGTTTTACTGAAATTCTTTTCAATTTTATACGTGGCCTCAAGCTTTAGCAGTGTGTATATAGAGACATTTATAAATTATAATCAATTAATTTTTTTAAGACAATGGATAAAAGATTCTTACGAATTTTACGATGCTGTTCGAAAAATGGATGATGCCTCTTATGCTGGAGTGACTGATATTTCTGGATATATATTCGCGAATTCATCTCAAGACACCGTTAGAGTAAGATTGAGAATAAAAAAATAATAATTTTTGTCTAAAATGAGATAATTATATAAGTGATGAAAATAAATTTAAATTTAGTGCATCCTGTGTCAGAGTACACGTTAATAAATAAATAAATTATTTAATTAGAATCATTGGCTTGAAAGCGTGGTGCCAGTATATAGAAGAGCGAACGAGGAAGAATTTGAACTGGTAAATGGTAGTTGGAAGTACGGATCATACTTCTCGACACTCCTTACACAAAGCAATTTGTATCTTCCGTGGGCTAAACGTCGGTAAGTAATGTATTATATGATTCAATGAAAGACAGAAAGACTGTAATTTGAACTATTCGCTTTGCTAGATTGCAGTTAAATGGAATTACATTTAAGCAAAGAGAATTGAATTCTTTTAAAGAATTGACAAATGACTACGATATCGTAATAAATTGCACTGGACTTGGAGCGCGCAAATTATGCTCTGACAGACGTCTTGTTTCTCTTCGTGGTCAAGTACTCAAAGTATGACATTATTTTGCACTCAGATATTCATTTCTTTATTCATACAATCTACCACAATTTTCCTCTTAATAACGTCAGAGTTGGAAAGTCATTAAAAAAAATAATTAGTTATCATTATGCGTTACTTATTAAAAAAAAACTCATTCGTTATGTAACGAATAAAGAAACGAGTTTTTTTTATAGATAATGTGTAATGATAATAAGTTACTTTTCAAGTGACTTTTTTCAATCTTGGCATTATTGTTAGTCATGAAAAATTATGAAATTGTTACGAAAAATCGTTATTATAAAAAGTAACGGTAACAGCATTATAAATACGTGTTACTTCCATTCTTGCTAATCGTTTATATGCATAAAAAATAGTATATCTGTGCAGGTAAAAGCTCCATGGATGAAAATGTTCTTTTATGGCGAGCTTGATACTTATATCATACCAGGTTTCAATGGTATAGTTACTTTAGGTGGATCGAGGAACTTTGATTCTGAAAATATAAAATTGTGTCCACACGAATCCGCAGCAATTCGTGAAAGATGCGAGACGCTAATCCCGTCCTTGAAAAATGCCGAAATTCTGCGACAGGAAGTCGGTCTGCGACCGCATCGGGATGGTGGTGTTAGAGTTGGGGATGGGAGTCGTATTAGTAATCATTCTAAAGCTATAGTTAGTATTTAGACAATAAAAAACAATTTATATTAATTTATAGATTGTACTATAGATGAAACGAGAGATTATCCCTTTTATAGATTATACACAATTATGGACATGGTGGTTACGGAGTTTGTATGGCACCTGGAACTTCTATAACGGCTGTGAACGCAGCCGTCGAACTTCATAAATCTACCAGCTCTAAAATATAATATTATTTACATAACATTTTTTCCTATTATATACACTACGCATAACAATTAGGGAATTATTTAAAAATCTGCAAATTTTGCTGATCTTAAGAGGTTGTATCTCATATGTAGTATCCAAATTCTTGCAAAATATAAGGTTCGTTTTGAAATCTGTTAACTCAGCTTCTACGAATGCTACAGTAATATTCGTGGTGTCATTCGCTGGAAGCTAAAATACAGCCTTTTATGGATCGGCAAAATGTTTTAAAGTGATCCTCTTGTTGTCCGTAATGTGTATTATTGTATTACAAAAAATATTGCTGAAAAAAACCTTTTTCTATCTGAGCATCCTTTATTAATAAGCTTACATAAATTCTAATAGTACATAGTATCATTTGCTGGTCAATGAATCATAAATAAAACTTGTAAAAGCCTGTTTAGGGCTTTATCAAATATGAAGATACATTATATTTTCTAAAATATATTAGCAGAAAAATGTATTTCGCAGATCGCAAGTTTAATATCTTTTTCGAAACAATAAATCATATTCGTCAAAATTTAAGAGTAATGTGTCTATTTAGTAACAAATATTGTATTATATTTTTAATGACAAATATCGTATCAAGAACGATATTTTATCGATCAATTATAAACATATTTGTAAATGTATTACGAAATAACAAACAAATTTATGCATGCCACACGTAAATTAATATCGGATACATCGAGTTTTTGAATTATGTGTGTGCATGTGTGTGTGTGTGTGTGTGTATATATAACTATATTAAATGATCATTATTTAGAAAAATATTACACCAACCCATTTAAGTGTTATTTCTTGCTGAGTTTTATATTCTTCCGAGGTGGTGCTCCCCATCTCAATGCGCTATTATCGACTGTAAGACGCGGTCTTTTATATTGACTGCTCTTTATGTGTTCTTCTACTAATTTGGGTGTGACGCAAATAACATGCTGTCCTTTCCAATATTTAACCATATTCATACTTTGTAATGTCGAGATAATATCAGTTTGTGAGATGCTGGTCATTTGACTGTAAATTTATATTATTTTTTATTTAATGCTCCCGAAATATTCTCTAGTATAGTTATGTTATGATCGATATTTATATATCTTACCTAAGATCTTTAATACCAAGAGTAGTCCCGCCCCTAAAATCTCGAAGGATTTCCAATAGAATCCAACTCCAATAACTGCGATAAGATAACTTTCCTAAATCGCTTAAAGGTTTCTCTGGACTTCCAACCGTTTGTTCAATTCTACTTAATTCATAGCTAAAAGCTATCAATAATTTGCCATAGCCCTGTCTTTGAAAAGGTGGTAGAGTTAAGATACATGCTACATTATTACCGTCTTGTGAATCTTTCTCCTGAAAAATAGAAAATAGAATAAAATTTGCGGAGAGAGAGAGAGAGAGAGAGAGAGAGAGAGAGAGAGAGAGAGAGAGAGAGAGAAAGGGAGGGGAGAGAGAGAAATGTTTAAAAGAAATCTTTAAAAAACTCGAAAAATATAATTACTAAATAAATTAAAATAGCACAAATAATTATATTTTTGATAAAAACGTTGACTTTCTTATTAAATTAGACAAACTTGTTAATGTGTATTTCTTAAGTGAAATAAGAAAATGATACAAAAATTCTCTATTAAAGAGATTATTTTATTAGAGTAAATATATATAATAAAAATATTTTAGTAAATTTGTACTGCACCTTTGAAAAATAACCAACTAAATGTGCACCGTGCTTATCCACCTCACATAAGATATAAAAGAGAAATGGCTCTACATCAAAGTAAAGGGTTTTGTGATCTAAAAATAATTTTGCCAACAAACACAAATTCTGACAATAAATTTTGTGTTCTCTGCCATCTACTTCCCAAATACTCAATGTTCCTTTTCGATAAATTTCCTTTCCAACTGGCTGTCTATGAGTACATTCACTCTGAAAGAAACATATGTCATAATTACAATACATATTTTTAATAAAAGTTCAATAAATATACTTTTGATCTTACCATATGATATCTATAAGTTTTTTCGAGTCGCATATATTTTAAGCAATATTCACAAATCCAGAGCTTTGGTTGTTTGCCATATTCTTCTGGATATGGACTAAAATACCAAGTGTCAATTTCATATTTACCTACAAACAAACTTTTGGAAATCATGAGATCCTTTCTACATTGACTAAATTACGTACACAAGTGAAATAATAATTACCGATCTGTACTCTATCTATGTATTTTACTTTGGTTATAGCTTCATGTTCTTTCTCCAATGCAGCTGTAGTAGGATCCATTTCTGCATAAGTCTAAAATAATAAAAATATACTAATGTGTATTAAATTTAGGACTTTCCGGTTTACCTGATAATAAAAACAATGTGTGTGTGTGTGTGTGTGTACACATATATGTGTGTATGTACAAATAAAAAAAATTTCGTGTGTAAAAATTATATCTAATACAACATAAAATTGTATCTAATACATGTATAAAAATTGTACCTAATACAATATAAAATTTTTATTTACGACAATATAATTCTATTTAATAGATGTATTTACCTTCTGTACATGGTTAATCTCATCATGACGTCTCTTCTGATTTCTAGTGATTTTGCGATCAGAAGAATCTAATGCTAATAAATCAGTTCCAGAATTTCTATCATGTCGTTCTATTTCACTCATATCAAACCTGCTAGACATAATTCGATCACGAGGTACCCATTCATCCAATCTTCTGTTATGTCCATCATAGTGGATATAATATTCATAATGACTTTCATTTTCATTATAACGTGTTTGGATAATTTCTGCAGGATCTATATAACAATAAAATAATAAACAATCAAACAAAAGTGCATACAATAATTCTGCCTATTAACTTAATATTCAAGAAAAGAACAATAATATAATCCCAATAAAGCAGTTGTCATGAAAGATAATTCTTATTATGGAAAAATCTTATAACAATATAAAGAAACTAATCAAAACGTCATGATGTAAAAAAACGGAAACATATCATGATGCTTTGATTAGTTTTTTATATTGTTATATGATTTAAGTATCTTAAGAAACATTATCAACAGAAAGCTGATAATATAAGTACAATATATGGATGAAACTATACATGCTTACAAACTCGTGTCATCACAAATAATCAATAATAATTATTTTCAAGATTAAAAAAAATCAAGTACAAGAATTGCTACATACGCCAGGAGTCATCAGATCTGCGAACGAGATAATGTTCGCCTATATCGAGCGGTAACTCTTCGAAGCTATCAGCATCATCGCCGGAGCCCTTCCCGCCATTCGTCAACGTACTATCACGCTTTTCTTGTTTCACCATTGTCTCCTTTGACGGCGTTGTATTACAACCGTCTTTAGTTCTCTGTTCGGACTCGGCCATTTTCTAATCATGAATTTGTAATTCACGTATCACTTAAATCTCTCTGGCCAATACAAACTATTTCAAAAAAGCTGAGCATTGCACTCACTGAGCGATATTGCGACAAAATGATCTGGAATGAGCTGTCAGTAGAGCAGGGTTGTGTTCCAAAACTCAAGAAAAAGAACGTACTATTCGTAAACCAAACACGAATAGACGCGTCCGAGTTTGTTCGCTGGATGTATACGCGGCTTAATTATTGCAACGTTGGGCTACAAGAGATATATAGGGAATGTTCCGTAAGTAAATAGTAGCAAGATTATCCAATCACATGCGTGATCCTAAAGTCCTAACAGCGTGATCAGACTAGGATATTAAGCAGTGAGCACAAATTCTTGCATAATGCATGAAACATAAGGCATAAGGACATCAACTAATCAGAATTCTTTATTTTACGGAAAGGAAGGAAATAAAGGACTTTGATTGGTTGGACTTAATACAAAAATCATGAATTTAATAATGTATAAGCCAAATATTTATGTTAATAAACAAATTTATATCAATTGTTGATAATGTCAACGTTCTTCAATTACCTCCGGGCCCTTGGGACCCTTTTTATACCGCCGAAAATTTGCCCAGGATTGACGATCTTTAATATCTCGTCGGTGCCCTGAGAATCGATTGTGTATCTCGAAATGAAATGAAAATTACAAAAGTGAGCAAATTCACTCGAATATTCACACTTCAATTGAAATACTTGTTGAACTTGTTCATTTTTGTAACTTTCATATTATTTCAAGATACACAATCGACCCCCGAATATATTTATCTTGGAATATTTGAATTTCACGCCAATCGAAGAATAGTGTAATGATTAACGAACGCACATGTCTGATACGTAAAAAGGGCAGAGAGTGTAGGTGTAGAAACGCAGACGACTGACGGGCGCGCCGCAGGCGGACGATCGCGATTCCGCGAGGTTGTTCGGTGGCTGTCAGTCCATGTTCGTGTCAGTGTCGTGATGTGAATGCGAGCAGTGTGGTGTAGGTGTGAACGTCTCGTCGAGCAAACGCGGCGGATCGTGCATTGCGAGAATAGCGAACGTCTTGGTATTCGCGATGGACAACCAGGACAACCGCCTGGCGATACCTGTTGCACGT